TACAAGATAATAATAATATTCTAAGATAATTAATAAATAATAAAATAATAAACTAATAATAAATTTGTTCTATAACAGTATATATAGTTAAAAAATTAAAATATAATTATTACTTAATATTAATTTAGGTTTAAATTTTATTATTTATTCTAGATTATATATGTTGTAAGTAAAAACAAAATTCAGAATTTATATAAAAAAAAACTATTTTTGAGGTTGATTTTATCATATAGAACCCCCACAGCAAAAGAAGATGGGCAAAAAAATTTGAAAATTTGTTCTTATAATAATTTTATTCTAATCAATCTGATTCTTCAAGATATTGAATTTTTTTAAAAAAAAATTTTTGGCCTATCCTCTCTTTTTGCTGTGGGGTCCCATATATACACCTTAATTCTAACTCTAATTTAATTAGAAAATTCCAAATCTATTTAAATTCTATTTCTATTTACAATATATATATTTATTTCTATGCATTATTGTATGGGTTTTCAGCTAATAATAATCTAAAAAAACTTATAAATCTAACTTTAAATTCTAATATTATAATTCTTTAATCTAACTCTAAATAAATAAATCTTTCTTCTAGTTCTAAATAAAGTTGTAAAGAAGATTTTTCTAGTTTTAATAGTGATTATATTATTAAAATTAGCCTAGTAAATCCCAAAATATTTGGGGTTAAAGATATCTTGAAATTTACAAACTAATTTTGATAATCTAACTATTATTAAAACTAGAAAAATCTCTTTTACAACTCTACTTAGAGCTGGAAGAAAGGTTAACTTGTTAAATTTTTAAGAAACCAATTTTTACTATATAAATACTAAAAATAGAAAATCTTGTATATAACCTATAGTAAAAATAGCAAATTACTATAAAAATTATATTAAAATAGTATAGTTTATTGTATTTATTTTAAAATTTTTTAAAAAAATGCTCAATTTGGATTTTTGATAAAAATTTTATTAAAAATCCAAAATTAAGTTTAATTTTTATGATATATACAATAAACTATATTGTTCTAATATATTTTTAGTGCTGAACAAGTTTATTTAGAAAATGAAATTATATTGTATTAGTAAAATCTTGAGTAATGCAGGAGTTTTTGAATTTTTATTAATAAAATCTTGTATAACTCAAAATTTTACTAATTGGTTCTAATTTTATGTTCTAAGTAAACGTGTTCAGCACCAAAAAATACATGTACATTTTAAAAATATGCAGTTTGGGTTTGAAATTATTCAAACCGGACCCAAACCCGAACCAAACCTCAGAGCCCTATGCTATAGTATTATAACAATATTTTTTTTAAAATATTATAAAATTTTTATTTAAATTATATTTAAAAAAATTTCAAACTTCCTAAAATAGTTTACAAAGTAAAAAAACAATGTATAAATAATATTCTAAATACAATATACTATATATAATATTGTATAATTATAATTATTTAAAAAATTATTATTAAATTCAAATAAAACATTACCTTTTATACCTTTTATGCTAAATTACAAAAAAAAAAGTTGTATTCAAGTTTTTTTTTATATTTATCTTATTACATTGCCTGCTTTAACATTTTATAATTGGCAATATTTATAAAAACTATATATATAATATATTATATAACATATATTAATAAACAAATATTTATACGAAATTAATTTCTATTAGTGTATAACGAATTCTTAAACCTTTTAACTTCTTCCCACAATTTAGTTCCGACAGAATTCTTATTATTACTACGATCGGCTATAGCAACATCAACTGATTCGGGATCTCCTAATGAAGGCACATTCTCCAGTAAACATCTCATTATCTCGACTCTTTTATACCTTGCAGCAAATACAAATGCATTCGGAAAATGTGAATCACGTGGCATTGTCTCGGCACCATAATTAATCAATAGTTTCACGAACACTGGGTCATCTGATAACACTATGGTAGCAAATAATACATTGGGTAATTTGTACATTAGCTCACTCTCACTTGTTTCTGAAGTAAAACTATAAATCGTTGTTGCTGATGTTGCTGATGATACTGAATGTTGCCTGAGTTGTTCTCGCGACGGTTTATGCCGTGGTATCCTAACGTTTGGATTTGCACCTTTATCTAGTAGAGATTTAACTTGCATTATATCGGGTAGTGACCCATTTCGCCTCAATTCTCTAACAAAAAGACGTTTCAAGGCGCTGTCGAAATCATCTCGTGGAGCTTTCTTTGGTGATTGTGGAGGTGTTAATGGCGTAAGCACTACCGGTGCATATCTTTTGGCAAGATCACACACTTTACCATTTCTGGCTCGAATAAATGGTTCATGTAGTTTTAGAGTTTTCAATGCAGCGTTTTGGCCATTTATAACTATTTGATACAAGAAAAATTGTATAACATGTTAATGAATACTATTAAAATATCAAACAAATTAATAAGACTATTATGTTACCTATTGCGACTAAAAATTTCTTTAATAATATTGGATCATAAAAGATTGGTGGTTCAGGTAACGCAGGTCCAAAGAACGGAACACCTTCTTTGGACGTTATCTCAACTCTAATTAGATAATCGTTTTTGTCAATAAATTGGCATAAAATAATATTAAAATAAGAGACATGTACCTATATGCTTCTTTACCGTTGCTCAAATGTACTGGGCTGACTATTACGTATACGTGCAGGAATTGAGAACGTATTGCTAATGGTGAAAATGGTGTCGGAACGTCTTGAAATACTATGCACACAATATCTAAACAATAATATATATATATATGTGAATTATATTATTATTATTATTATTATTGTTGTTGTTGAATTTATATAATTCTAAATCTTACCATTTCCTAAATGCCTTTTCCTTGTAATTTGATGTTTATTATTTTCGAAGGGTAATATCGTGCTCACGTGATACATTATCTCAAAATCTTTCCAAGTTCCAGTATCATAAATTGAATATTTACCAGTCCCCCCTGTTTTTGTATCTAATCCACCACCAAACCGTTGCCATCCTAGCAAATTAACTTTATTGCCTAACAAGTTGAGAAACCTTTCATATGCTGGTGATGCGTTTGTGTTTGCAAACCATTCTTCTTCGGATACTTGTGACGGTGCTTGATAAAGAACACCGATCTTATATTGGTTTTGAAGCTAAAATATATATGTATATATTATATTAATCGATAAAATCTATCAAGTTATTAGAATGATATATATATATACCCTCGATTCATCTAAATTTAATAATTCTTGGCTTAATTCAGGTGTGGTGATAAATTTCGTTAAACGGTGTGGCACAAAATGCCTGTCGATCATTTTTAATAAATCTTCCCATATTGGTTCACCGAAATAAGCTTGGCCTGCCAACACTCCACGGTGATCTGGAGTCTATAACAACAAATAAATTTTTAAATAATAACGCATATGCATGCATAAATCTTTTAATGAAAATAAATACGTACGCACCTCTTTTTTACGAACAATGTACCTGTACCAATATATATCCCCAACAGGGTTATATGTATCGTGAATAATTGAAACTATCACTGGTCCATATGGTTCAACAGTTCCTATAAACGTTGGATGGTCTAAAATGCGTAGTAAATTAGCATTCGGTCAGAATACATTCAGTTAGAACTCATAGCAAGAAATAATAATAATAATAATAATAATATACCTCTTCCATAAAAAAATCGTCGATACCAAGTCGCATCAATATCTTGGTGTTCAACCTCATAGTCTATATTTGAAAGTATTTGGTCCGTACTATTAGAAGACGAGAATTGAGCTGCTATCGGTAAAACGTTCTAATAAAAACAAGTGACAAAAAAAAGTTATTAAACATTCTATACTGTATCCACTTTATAGTACCACATATAATAACTTGAATTTTATTTACCTTTGTATTTGAGGGCGTTGTCGAAAAATAAGATGCGTCGCTAGCATCTCTCGAGTGTTCTTTCGTCATTATTATTATTATAAACTATATATATATATATATTTATATTAATTTTTCTTTTATTTATTTTTCTTTTAGTAAAATAATTAAGTCGTTTATTCTTTAGAATGCTAGAAAATTGAAATTTCGTAAGTTGTTTTGAAAATAAAAATTGATAAAGGCAAAAATTCCATTTTTTAATATATAAAGAGCAGAAGCTAAAATTAAAAAATGAACGTAAATCTTCTTTTTAATTATTTGCCGATTAATTAAAAATAGGTTCGAAACTGTAATACTATTGACTTATCGTTACTGAATTTGTTTAAATCTGTAAAGAATTGTACCATCACGTTGTTTCTCATGTAATATACCAATAATGGATACCTTATGAATCTTACCCTTGAAATTAAATGTATACTAAAATTTATATTAAATGTAACTCATGTGCGTTGCACGAATTTGTTTATATGAACTGTTTAGAGTACCGCAGTGACCAATGCATTTATGGGATAGTCCTACGTAAGTGTATTAAATTCTTTAAATTCTTTATGACCATTGAAAAGTTTATTGGTCCTAAATAATAGAACATATGTATCTGATTATAAATATTGTTTTATAACCATATCGAGACTAACCGAATTAGACGGGAAAGTAATGCTGATGGGGTACGTAGTAAAAGGAACAAACTGCATTGTATGCAAAGTATATCAAAATTTTGGTTAGTTCTAGTTCAAATCTGTTACACATGATGACCAAATGTATGCATTATAAAAGCGAAAGTAGCTAAGATTAACAGGTTTTTACTTGCTCGGCATACATACAGTAGATTATTAACTCATTCATAATTCCGCTTTCTTAATTTTCAATACAGTTTATTATAACGGAGTCATATCCATTTTTGAATATATTTTAGCATTTAACGTTTTTCCATAATCTTTCTATCATTCTTTATAATTTAGCTATCATTTAACTGGCATAGTCAATTATTTTTTTTCAAATAGAAAAGTTTAAAATGATTTTTAATTAAGCGCTATTGAATCATTTAAAAAAATAAATGCTCATTATATTCTACATTTGTCTAGTTTGTACTTACAATGTCAATATTAGAACAATTTGACAGATTTAATATAATATAATAGACGAAGTATTCCTATACTGTTTCGTATAATATCGCCAAAGTTTGATACATTATGAGATAAAATACCTGAATCTCTAAAAAAACTAAAATGTTCTTATGTGAGTACCTACCTAGTCACTTCATGCATTACTTCTAATATGTGATACGCAAACTCCTACTGTATCAGAGGTGAGATAAATTTGTGTATAACGTTTAAAATGACCAACAAGATGCTAAATGCTTATATCAGAAATATACAATAACCATTTTATTGGGATCATGTTATTAATGACAATGGCTGATTTATTCACAGCGGTTTCTACGTCATAACGGTGGCCTTGATCACCATCTTATCTCAGAAACCTAATGAATAATCAATTATCATCATCAATATGACCAAGTACTTACCGTAAATAGAGGTCATCTAAAGCCTGATAGTTTTTCAAATTTGATTACTAAATTAAAATTCACGTGATGCATATAATTTACTACCTGGTCCCTGTAAATGGTCATATACAAGGTATAATACAATGTAAAAATTTGGAGTGCAAATACACATACATTTTCATTTTATAATGGGAACTCTAGATGTTTGAAAGAACGGCATTCAATTAAGAACCCCTGTGATTCGCATCTGGGTATGGTTCGAATATTTATATTGCCATTTACGGTATAATAGGATCCTATTGTATAGTTTTTAATAAATTAAAAGTTTATAGATTAAGCTAAAAAAAAAAAAAATCCCCGTTATTTTTTGAAACTTACTGCATCTGATATACTTGTATTGTTCGCGGTAGAGTTCCTATCCATTATCTGAAATTATTCGGATATCCATTTTACTATTGATATCCGGATAATTATCTGAATATTTGTCGGATTATCCGGATACCAATAGTAAATGGATATCCGGATAAATTCAGATATGGATAAATGGATGACGGATTTATCCGGATTGGACCTCTAGTTCGCGGATCATTATCCGAATAATCTGGGTTGGGGATAAACAAATGCACCTTTTGAGTCTTACAATGTATTTTTAATACGCAGGCACGATTGTACGCATACATAGTATGATGTTCCTGGTAAACCCATCTTTAATCCTGATGGATCAGAATACTCTTTAAAATACAATGAAATAGTGTCCGAGCTTAATCAAATATAGAAATCTTATTGTCAATTTATTTTACCGAATATTTTTGATATAAGATGATATCATTGTATAGTTGACTCACTTTATAGCAACAAAAATCTGTTGCAGGTGAAACAGGTGAAGGTTTAGTAAATGCGAAACTGGTAAATCTAAATATGAAATTCAGTTTGAAACCACGGTGAAACTCAAATTGGTTTCAAATCTAATAGGGGAAGGTAACTGTATACAGTCAGACCTCTCTAAACGCAACTCATGAAGTCCAAACTTTTGATAACATGCGGAGATTAGAACTATATTTGGGCCAAAGACTGAGGTTGCATTTAGAAAGATATTGCATTTAGGGGTTGCATTTAGGGAGGTCTGACTGTATACATTTCGATTTCGCACAACAAATATTAATGTCTCTGGGTCAGCATTAAACGATACCAGCTCAGTGTTTCAACTCGGGTGGGTTGTGGTTATGGCCACCCGGGTGGGTCAACCCACGGGTCACCCACAATTAAATAAAAAAAAAGTTAAATACGAATTTGGCTCTAAAAGAGAGATAGTGTAGTAGGGACGAAAAGTATGCAAGTCGAAGTTAATATATAGGATCTTTGCTAGGAAAAATCACCCTTCAGGATTTTCCGATCGGGCTAACTCGGAAAAGTTTAGACCAGAATGCCAGTTCTTATTCATATGTAACTCACCTTTTGCTTTATTTATTCGATAGTTTATTAAATAAACTGTCGAATCAGTAAGGTAAAAGAAGTTTTACATATGAATAAGTAGAGACGCATCGGTCCTGAAAAAGACCGGTCCGGACCGGGACCGATAAGGACCGTGGGACCGGTCCTGGGCCGGTCCTTGTAAACCGTGATATTCGTATCAGCCAATCAAATTGCTTGATCAGGTGCAACACGGATCATTACATCATTTTTGCCAATAAATCATTAAAGGACCTGTTTTGAAAATGAAGAGGACCAAATTATGCGATTTTTTTCGTACCATTAACCACGTGATAAATATATTCAATTTGGATTTATTGGTCAATTTCTTGCATAATTTACGTTGTTTGATTTTCTACTCGGAATACATCGGAACGGTATATATAAATCAAAATTTCAAAAATCGACCAATCGCAGGCACTATTTACTATTATGCGATTTTGGGCCAAATTATGCTCGATCGGAAAATCCCGAAGGGTGATTTTCCTAGCAAAGATCCCATATGCAGTCAGACCTCCCTAAATGCAACCCCTAAATGCAACATCTCTCTAAATGCACCCTAGCCCATAATGGGACTTATAGATAAATGTTCTTTATTCTGCTAATAGTCTGACCCACTTATGATATAGTAACATTATGATTTTATTAGCGTTCTCTAATTGCAACCCTCCCTAAATACACGCTGCATTTAGGAAGGTCTGACTGTATTTCTGAAGTTTAGTGCCAGACATGCAAACCTCAGAAGACAGTACAAGGATGGACAAGATAATGAATGTATTAAAGAGTTTCAACTTAATGCTACGGAGTATGAGAACGCAACCGATTAGATAATATTCAAGAAATTGTTGATAGCTTAATACTGCACGATTTTCAAAACTTGTTAGATTTAAGTAGAGTAAGTTATCGTCCACCCGGGTAATGTTTTCTTAGACGGGTTGAAACACTATACGTACCAGCTGACTATGTCAATAGCAAATTATTAATAAAAATTTGTGTAATCTTTATTGTTACTGTATTTCGCTCAAAATTACTGTAATAACAATTCTACATCAGGAAATTAAATAAGTGTAAATTTGCAAAAATCTGTATTTTTGCAGATTTTGCAGAATTTTTACAAAAAAAATCTGCAAAATTTTATAAAATTTTAATTTCTGCAATTATAGCTACTAAGTTTGAAGTTTTGCACAGATTTTCATTTGATTTATTATTTAATTTTTTTGCAAATCTGTACAGAACTGCACTAAAAAAGATTTTCCGATGTAGGTGTATTCTTATACATTCACACCTTAACTTTCTAATTTGTAAACGCCGAGAATTTGTTCCATATCTGCGGATATTAAGAATTACTATTTAAAAATTCCAAAACCTTTGCCCATAAATAGCTTTTGATTCACTGGTCCGTTTTAGATGATTTTATCAATGATTCTAACGAACCTAAAATCGTTAAATTCCAATAATGGGATCCCGAAGTGACACAAATCCTTAATTATCTCGGGGTCCCATTATCGTTGTTGGATTTTAACGTTTTAGGCTCGTTAGAATCGTCTTGAGACGGTCATTTTGATGGTAAAATCATTCAAAGCGAACCAGTGAATCAAAAGTTATGATTAAAGATTTTGAAAATTTTAAATAGTAATTCCGAATATCCGCGGATATGCAATAATTTGGTTATTAACGAGAAAGGAGAGCATTTGGAGCAAATTTTGGTCATAAATTATTTATACACTATTTGATATTAATTACTTTTCAAGGTGAGCATTTTAAAGACTTGCAAGATAAATTATCTAAAATAATTTATCACATGGTATGAACGAAATCGCGCAATATAATCTCGTGAGAAATGTATGCTAGATCTATCTCGCACGAGATACATCTCTAATTGTAATTAGTCATAATTACATAGTCAGAAATTTTGTTCTATAATGACTATATGCGCAAAAGAATTACGTTACAATTAATACGAGATATTACCGTAAAATCGCGAAATAACGCTATGAGCGTTATTTCAGAAATTGTACTCTTTAAAAACGCCATACTTCAGTTTAAAGTAACGACC